ATAAATTAAGAGTAGACTGGTGAAGCCGGCTAACAAGAATAAGAGAAGACAGACAATTTAGAATAATGCTGCTTGTACACCAGGTGTACGTACACCTCTGAGACATGAATAGTGTAATGTCACTATACTTTGTTTGACACCATGTTCTTGTCATAAATTAAGAGTAGACTAGTGAGGCCGGCTAACAAGAATAAGAGAAGACAGACAAATTATTTTGGGTTAAAAATCAATACAAAATGTAGTATGTAATTCTGAAGAGAGATCCATTTTTTTAGTTGGGGGTGTGCTTTTTGTTGTTTCTGATATAAATATTTGTATAGTATATAGAACATTTTTTTTAGTAGAAATACTATCCAAGACTCTGGAGATTTTAGGTTACCACCTAGATCCAGTGAATGTTTGGATTCATCAACCCTCTTTATTGAGTTGAACACCTTAATAGTTAATACAATGGAAAATGGACTTAAGCATGACCTCTATGAGCGCATATGCTCGAGTCGTTTTCGAAATGCTTTACATATAGGGTATGCGTGTGATAATGCATTCAACCCATTTTATTGACCGCATTTTGGCTTTTAACATATGCATGGTTAAACGCCAAAATGCGCATGTCTGATTGATTTTTAAAACTTGCAAAAATAAACCGAGCCCAACAAACATCAAATTAGGCCAAATAAATCAAGTCCACGTATTATATATAGCAATCTATAGGGCTGTCTAGAAAAATAAAAATGGAACAATACAAAAATAAGGTATTACTTTTTACCCATTTCAAAAATACAAAAACAAGTTTCAAATTTCAAAAATCAAGTTTTTTAAAAAATTTATTTATGAAATAATAATTATTAAATCAATTTATAATTAAATATTTAATTATAATATAATATAATTAACCCATCCACCCACACTTCCACCACCCCTACAGTTCCAGTGACTATTTCGACGACTTTTTTGATGATCCCTCTTTTTTGGCGACTGTTCATGCAACTGCTCCGATTCCGACGACTATTTCGATGATCGTTCCACCGCCGCTTTATTCCGACAATTGCTCCGATTCCGGAAAGTATTCCAACTCCGGCGATATTACTATATTAAGGTCACATATCTATGCAATTTGGTCACAATTCAAAAAATTGTAGGTCTCAATTCAAAATTTTCAAAGGTCACAATTTGTTCATCGGTCACAAATCACAAAATTTACAAGTCACATTACTTATTTTATGGTCACAAACATAATTTATTTTATGGTCACAAAACATCAAATTAATTAATCAAAAATTATATTTACTATTTAGGTCACAAATTATCAAATTATCAGTCACAAGTTAATACTTTTTAGGTCACACATCATGTTTTGGTCCACAATTTTATCTATATCATTGGTCACAATCAACCAAAACCACCGCGCCCACACTGCACCCCCTTGACACTGCCTCAACCATCAGCAACACCACTGTCGTCGTCCAATACCAACATCAACATCTCATACAAACCAAAACCACGACCTCTCAGCACAAGTCACCACCTCCAAAACCACCACCTCCAACAAGATTGCACCAACTTCCAACTGCCACACGCACGCACAAAATAACTATGACCACCAATCTGCAACGTCCTAATCCACCGTCCATACCACAACACCGAACCGATTACGACCATTCCACCGCACCTCCACTGCCGCTGCAGCCATGCAATCACACCCACCTGAATTGCCTCCGCGGGCACTCGCACATACCCAACCGTACCCACAGCAACACAAACACCGCACCACTCAAAAATAAAAACAAAAAAAGGACAGGAACGAAGCAGCATCGAAGAGAGAATCAGACAATTGATTTTGGGACTTCTCAATCTACCTGGTCTGCCAGTATAGAGGCGGATGGTGGCCGTGGAGGATTGAGAGTGGAGAGACGAACAGTGGAGGTTGAGGTAGCGGGCGACGGTTGATGCTGTATCTGTGGAAAGGCGAAGAGAGTAGAGATGAAATTGTTATTTTAGGGTTTACCTAGTTTGACTGTGTATAGGCGGACGGTAGCGACAAAGGTCTTAGAGTGCGAGAGACGACAGTGAAGGTTGAGGCGGCGGCGTTGAGATACAGGGAGAAGAGATTAAAGTGGAGAGGAGAGCAGCAAGAGGGAGATTGAAGACGATAGAGGGAGATGAGGGGAAGAAGTCGATGTCGTGGCGGGGACAGTGTTGAGAGACGGGAGAAGAGATGAGAGTGGAGACGAGATAAGTATTTTAGGGGTTGGTTGGGTTAGATAGGATAGGGGAGTGTATATAAATTAATTTATATTGTATCTATAGATAAAAAATTTAAAAAATGTTTTTAAATTATTAATTAAATCTTGATTTTTGCAATGTGAAACTTGATTCATGAGTTATGAAAATGGTATTCTAAAACCAGGTCTATGTGTAATTTCCTCAAATAAAAATCATAACAATTTTTTCGTAGAGTTGCAATATGTAGTATACATGATTTTGAGCAATTTTTTTAATTATTATTTTTCAAATTTGAAGAATATTTATAAAGTTCAAAAAATGCATTATTTTATCTATTTATTGGTTTATAATATTAAAAATTGAAAAACACATTATTATTTATATGCTTCGCATAGACAAGCATATACTTGTAATGCTTGATGCTTGACTGAAAAGAATTGTCACACATTACGTATTTTAGAACCTTGAGAGTTACTACATGAATAGAACATCTTAACTAGCAACGATTACATAGCTTTCAATCACATAAACTATATTTCAAATTTCAATTATTAATTAGTTTACTTATGTGACCTTAATTAATAATTCTTTGAGCTACTCCTTGTTTATATTTTGGAGAAGATTTTTAGGAGCAATTCTATTTATGATCATGATAATAAATCATCGATAATGTGATAATCCATTATCCTTCATAATTCTCTCTCTCTCTGCCCCCTTTATTTCATATAAATTGAATTGTCCAATTTCATTATTCCACATAGACCATCATATCACCGATAATTTATCATCATGATAAATAAAATTATTCAATTTTTAGCGGCTCCCACATTTAAAATGTGCAAAAAAGTCCCACAACTTTTTATTATAGCATTTTTTTTTTAAATTATACTTTGCAGTGACTTTGTATTCATTTTTTTTTGGGACAATTTCGTTACGCCAGCTTGGATTCAAAATGTTCCTGAGAATAAAATAGCTCATGAGAAATCTTGTCGGTAGAAATTTAGCCCCTGTTTGGCTCCCATTATTTGGCATTTTTGATAGTTGAAAATTTTTGGAATGGTGATTGATGGGAGAATGTGTGGTGGAAAACTAATGAAAAGTTTTAGATTTGTGTGTAATATTATTTTATTTGATGAATGTGTGGTTGTAATGAAAAGAGAAAAATTTAATGTCATGTAATTTAATTTAATGGGAGCCAAACAGGGGCTTAGTTAAATGTAAGGCAATCTTCTTTAGACAGTACACGGTTCTGAGCTTATCATATTGAAGCCCATGCTAATAATTATCTCTTAACTTGTTGATAATAGTTAATTAGTCAAGTCAATTGTATGTACGTCTGCAAGTGTTTAAAGAAGTTTACTTGTGAAAGAGAATCGATTCTCTATTATTAACAAATGTGGTCTAGAGGTAAATCCCTGCTTTCCCTTCTAATATGTAGTTATTCTATTATTAGTAAGTGGTAGGGGTTGATGTTAAACCCGCTACAACTTGAAAATGAACTTTTGTTAAATGGGAAAAAAAAAAGAAAGTAAAAAAAATTCAGTTGTGAAAGTGAAACTCATTCTCAAGATGTGCTGGCTGGGATACCGCAGGTTCAGATTGTTTCTAACCATTACTGAATTTTAATTCGAGAGGTCAAAAGAAGCCAAACAGTGGTGAAGGACCTCTCAGAAAGCTTCAGCTAATAGTCCTGTTTGTCTCGTATTTGTTCCAATACCTTGGGAAAAACATTTTGAGATGCAAACTGGAGACATCTTTACTCTTTTTATCGTAAAATGACAGGTTAGCATTATAGAATTATAGAGTCAAAAGATTTAACACGAAGAGAGGTAGGAGTAGAGCTACTTCAATCTTCAGCAACTTCAGACATTGCATCTCTGTTTGCTTTATATTCTTCATAATGCATACACGTTTTGAACTAGATGGGTCGACACAATAATTTTTCTGGCACGCTTTTCACCTATTTTTATTTTGATGAACAGGGAGTGCAAGCCTGCCCTTTTTATTTGCAGAAAGGACACTGCAAATTCGGACGTACTTGCAAGTTTGATCATCCAATGGGAACTGGAAAATACGACCCCGCGTCATCCTATGCTGAAATGCCAGGTAATTCTTAAATGCTCACTCTACCTGCTGCTCCCACTCTTTGTAACAACTTATTCATTTTAGTAGATGCAGGCTGAATATGTTGCAGGTTCGAAACTGGATCTTGGTATAATTAAGACACAGCCTTCTGGGAACAATTCCAGTGGTTCTGTTCGTCCGATGTTTTCAGAGACTGTTAAATGAGATTTATCCTTAAAAGTACACATAGAAGCACAAGAAATGATAGGGAAATTCGCCATTCAATATGATACGTCTATTACCCTCTTATTTCGAGTTTCGCCACCAACATTTGTGGCCAACTCTTTTGTCAACTATCATTTAGTTAATGTTTCCATATCGTTGATCAAAGTTCATCGACTCTGTATGATATTGTAATTCAACACATTGTTATCTAAGATGTTGATCTTTTGCTCCACATTATAAATCTTGAACAAGAAATTGAAATAGAATAATCGTTTTTGTTTTCTAAAGTTGGAACTTCTTAAGATATTTTTGGTCGTCTGTTTATATACAATGAGAAACTGCAATTTTATACACAACTGGATAATACCATAGGTACCATTTTGAGCATAGTATCGGTATGGTTCTTTGAAGAAGATGACATATATACAATGCAACAAACTGAAAAAATAACTATTAAAATATTGAAAGTTAGAGCAGGCTTTGCCTGCTTACTTAACCATGTTTGGTATGGATTCCCAATTCTCTATATCTTGCATGTAGAGATCTTCAAGCTTCATACTCATTTTCTCTGCTTCTCGACTGGCTGCAAGTGACCAATCGTAAAACTTGCATTTCTCGTCGTCGTTTAGAACATTGCAAATTTCTTGTAATTTCATGAACTTTTCTGAAGCAGCTTTCAGAGGAAGTTCTGTGGTGTCTGGATGGTATTCCTTTGACAGCCTCGGGTAAGCGGCTTTTATTTCTTCGAAATCTGCATTTGCAGCTACTCCTAAGAAGCTGCAATATTGGCACCAGTATTTTTTAGTTAAAATGGTATTCTTCAAAAACCCTCAATATTGAATGGGTGTATGCCATTGTGCACATTATTTAGTCTACAGAAGATATGCTCTATGATTAAACGAAATTATTCATGCTTAGATGTCAGCTCAACCTTATGAAAACCTTATATTTTCCGGGGATAAGAACCACTGGAGGTACTCAAGAAACTAGAAAAGCAACAGCTAATTCATCTGCAAAGATACTCACTCACAAGAATGCGTTCATTCGATATTCCTCGTTGAGAGAAAGCATGTATATGGCGCCCAATAAAGGATTTTTATCTTCAAAACCTATTGGAAGGGGCCATGCATATCTAGCTACTGACTATGGTACACAAATCTTACCGACTGTTGGGGAAGAATTAGAGAATGGGACCTCTCTCTTAATTTAATATCAATTCCCCAAGAAACTTTTTGACATATTTATTTATTCGATATGGACATGATAAATTTTATCACGCGTATCTCTTTTATAATCTTGTCTTGTCTAGTTTGGTCTAAGTCTGTTGTACCAAAACATACCCCTCCCCTACAAATTCAGAAAATAGAGTATATTTGTTTTTTCATTTCTTGATTTTGCAGGAACATGAACTGCCTATTAGATGTTAGATATTTTACGTCTAGCTGCAAGCTGTCATGTTTCCCGCCATTTGTAATTCAGTTAGTTCAGTTATTTATATCAATTGTTGATACATTGTAAAACATTTTTTTCACTTCTTCAATCAATAAGGACTTTCCTGCCTTCTCTCTCTTGAATCAATATGGTATCAGGGCTAATGTGGGTTTACTGATTCATCATCATCTTCTTCAGCAAGTGAATCAAACCTGCTACCAATTCCGCTTGCTGATTTCAGCCTTATTCTGATCATCGATTCAACATCCCATGGCGACTGATACTTCGAGGCCATCGGACAACAACTCCATCATTGATGATGGATTGAGTCCTTACTATCTCCATCATTCGGACAGTCCACGTCTCATTCTAGTCTCTCAGTCGCTGATTGGGGAAAATTATACCTCTTGGAGCAGAAGTATGGTGATAACATTGTCGATGAAGAACACATTAGGTTTCATTGATGGATCAATTACAAGACCTGAAGGTAATGATAATCTAATCAATGCTTGGATTTACACTAATAACATTGTTATATCCTTGATACTCAACTCTGCGTCTAAAGAAATATTAGCAAGTATTATATATTCTGTGTCTGCCTTCGAAATTTGGAAGAATCTGAAAGAGAGATTCAGCAGAAAAATGGGCCATGCATTTTCCAATTGAGGCGTGATATGATGAATCATACTCAGGCTCAGCTAACTGTAGGGGCTTACTTCACTAAATTGAAGACAATTTGGGAGGAATTGAGCAATTATAGACCAAACTGCTCTTGTGGAAAATGTTCTTCACTACCAAACTGAATATGTCATGTCGTTTTTGATTTTCTTTTGCACAAACTCGTAGCCAAATACTACTTATGGATCCAATACCATCTATCAACAATGTATTTTTTCTTGTTTCTCAAGAGGAGAATCAAAGGACCATGATGACAGAATATCGAGTGGTAATAATCCAATGGCTTTTTCTATCAAAAATGAAGGGAATAGATCTTATAATAATCAACAATCTGGTAAGTTTCAGATAAAGGATGTCCTGTTTGCACATATTGTGGGTTGACTGGGCATGCAATAGACAACTGCTATAAACTCCATGGTTATCCCCCTGGCTACAAAGCACGACAGTGATTAGTTCCTCAAATCAGATTGTTGCTGTAACAACAAATCAGGTCTCAGATTATTCTAATCATCAAGAGAATATAAATTGTTTTCTCCAAACTTTGAATCCTGATCAGTATCAACACTTGTTGGCCATGCTGAACTCTCATTTGACAACAGCTAAAGTAGACATAGGGATTGATGTGAACTTAACACACACATTAGTTACATGCTTCTCAGTTTCCAAACATCCCATACTTCAATCTCCTCGACATTGGATAGTAGACTTTGGTGCTATAAACTATGTTTGCTTTGATCAATCCTTATTTCATACTATAATTCTCATTTCCAATTCATTTGTTACTCTTCCTAACAACTCTCGCATACAGGTTAAATTTTCTGGATCAGTTCGTCTTGGTCCCTTGTTGACATTACATGATGTTCTTTTTGTTCCACAATTTCACTTTAACCTGTTGTTCGTTACCTCATTAACAAGGATTTCATCTCTTCAAGCCAATTTTCTTATGGATTTTTGTATCATTTAGAAACGTCCAACTTTGAGGATGATTGGTAAGGGTAACAAAGTAGCTAATCTCTATGTCATTGACATTACCAATCCTTCTACTTTCTATGATTCTGTACCTCATAAATCTGCTTCTAATTCTTTCATTTCAAATGTAAATAATGTGTCCTCGCAAATTTGGCATAATAGACTTGGACATGTCTTTTTTAATCGTTTGGAGTTGTTAAAGGACATATTGTCTATCAATTGTAATACTCATAAGGACATTCATTGTTCTATATGCCCTTTATCTAAACAAAGACGTCTTTCGTTTGTGTCAAATAATAACTTCTCTACAAATGCCTTTGATTTGGTACAATGTGACACATGGGGCCTATATTATACACCAACGCATGCTGGTTATCAATGTTTCTTAACTTTAGTGGATGATTGTACTAGATTTACGTGGCTATTTCTTATGAAACAAAAGTCTGATGTCAAATTCATTACTCCCAAGTTTTTCTCCCTCATTGAGACAAAATTTGGCAAAGTTATTAAAAGTTTTCGATCTAATCATGCCCTTAAACTCCAATTCACAAATTTTTTCAATTCCAAAGGCGTCTTACATCAATTTTCTGGTGTTGAACGACTTGAGCAAAACTCCGTAATGGAAAGGAAGCGCCGACACCTCCTTAATGTAGCTAGAGCCATTTTCTTCCAATCTCACTTACCAATAAAATTCTGGGGGGAATGCGTTCTTACTGCCACATACTTGATTAATAGAACTCTATCTTCCTTATTACGTGGTGAATCTCCTTTTCAACTCCTTCATGCCTCAGTCAACTATGATCATCTAAAGGTGTTTGGTTGTTTATGTTATGCTTCTACTTTACCTTCCACTAGAACAAAATTTCATCATCGTGCTGTTGCTTGTATTTTTGTTGGCTATTTGCTAGGCATCAAAGGGTACAAGTTTTACAACATTGAATCCAAAACTTTCTTTGTGTTTCGTGATGTGGTATTTCATGAAACCTTGTTTCCATTCCAGTCCATAACCACACTTGATGATATCATTGATCCTTTCCCAGAATTAGTCCTGCCTATTCCAACACCTGATCTACCTACGTCTTCTACTTCATGTCCTAGCACCTTATCTAGTCCACCCGTTACAATCACAACCCATAATCCAGTGGTTAGAAGGTCTTCAAGGATCATAAAGCCACCTTCCTACCTGCAAAATTACCACTTCAATTTACTTCAAAACAAATCTCAGCCCGCTCCTAATATTTCATATTCCTTGAACAACTATATTTCCTATGCATATCTCTAATCTTCTCACCATGCTTATCTACTTCAGATTTCTTCCAATTTTGAACCCCAATATTATCATCAGGCTGTTAAATATCCACATTGGAGAGAAGCAATGGCCAATAAGTTAGAGGCTATGGAATCCAATCACACATGGTCTGTTCAATCTCTTCCTAAGGGCAAACATTTTATTGGGTGCAAGTGGATTTATAAAATTAAATACAAATCATATGGTAGTATTGAACGTTACAAAGCCCGGTTGGTGGCAAAAGGCTGCACACAGTAAAAAGGCTTGGATTTCATTGAGACCTTTTCCTTGGTTGCAAAATTGGTCACAGTTAAAATGCTACTTGCAATTGCAGCTATCACATGCTGGAATATATTTCAACTAGATGTTAATAAAGCCTTTTTGAATGGAGATTTATTTGAGGAGGTATATATAGATCTTCCCTTGGGTTATGATGGTTACCAGGAGGTTAATGGAAAGGGGGAGAAACTGGTTTGTCGTTTACATAAATCTATGGCTTGAAGCAAGCCTCAAGATAGTGATTCTCTACCCTTGTTCTACATGGCTTCACCCAATCCAAATCTGACTATTCTCTCCTCACCAAGGGTAAATGTTCATCTTTTGTAGCTTTACTAGTATATGTGGACGATATCATAATTGCAGGATCTGATTTGGCTGTTATTGAGGAGTTAAAGAGGTTTCTTAATATCCAGTTCAAACTAAAGGATTTGGTCTTTTAAAATACTTGCATGGAAATTACACGGTCTGCTGGTAGTTTACTTTTATCCCAACGTCATTATATTTTGCAGCTTCTTGAGGATCCTGGTTTACTTGCTTGCAAACCAAATTCTTCACCCACTGATCCTAAGGCTAAACTAACTTTCTCTGATGGTGATCTTCTTTCTGATGCATCTTCCTACAGAATGCTGGTTGGACGTTTACTATATCTTACTGTCTCTAGGCCCGATATAACTTTTGCTATCCATAAATTGAGTCAATTTGTGTCAGCTCCTAGGCAACCTCATATGGTCGTAGCACTTCATCTTCCAAAGTATTTGAAAAACTCTCCTGGACAAGGCTTGTTTTTCTCTTCTTCCTTTGCCCTTCAACTTAGAGCATTTGCGAATACTGGTTGGGGAGCATGTTTGGACTCTCGAAAGTCTGTGACTGGCTTTTGCATATTCCTTGGTGACTCTATGATATCCTGGAAAGCAAAGAAATAGACGACTGTCTCTCGCTCTTCTACTGAGGCTGAATACAGAGCACTTGCATCAACTGGCAGTGAACTTGTTTGGTTTTATCATCAGTTGCTTGATTTTCACATATCCCTTTCTGGTTCTATGGTTATATATTGTGACAACCAAGTTGCGATACATATTGCCAACAATCCTTCGTTTCATGAATGGACGAAGCACATTGAAATCGATTACCATTTTGTTCGAGATAAAGTTGCATCTGGTTTTCTCAAGCTCCTTCCAATTCGCACTCGTCACCATGTATTCACCAAAGCATTACCTTCTGCATCTTTAAATCCATTATTTTCCAAGATGACTATTCTTGACATTCATCGGCCATCTTGAGGGAGAGTATTACATGTTATATATTTTACATCCAGCTAGATACAAGCTGTCATGTTTCCTGTCATTTGTAATCCAGTTAGTTCAGTTATTTATATCAATTGTTGATACATTTTAAAACAGATTTTTCACTTCTTCAATCAATAAGGAATTTCCCGCCTTTTCTTTGTTGAATCAATACTGCCAGCCAGCATTCAAGTAATATGAAATCTTGGATACATAAATTAAACAATAATAATAACTTCAGTTAAAAACCAAGAAACTATTGATAATCAAGACTTACTGGTAATAATAATCAAATGAACGGTTGAGTAAATCCGAGAATTTTTCATTCAGAAGTTTCTCTTCATCTTTGAATTGTTTTGTCATTGACTGGGAATTACTTTTTCCTAAACAACTCTCATTCTCATTCTCCCAATGAATTCTCGTGTCCACTCCAAGAGGGGCCTTTTGCCGGCTGTTTGAACCTTTCACTGGATAAACCTTAAAATTTCGATGCATATTTCTTCTTCGTCTTACCCAATTCCGTGCTTCGAATTCTCGAATTCCCTTTTGGCACCTCAGTCCAAGAGAAAATGCAGCCGGCAGAGCTCCTGCTAGTAAAGCCATTGGAGCTAAAATATAGTAAATTTGAAGGCTGGTTTTGAATTCAGGTTGATGAAAAAATTGTTGGTGACGCGGGCTAACTATAAGTGCGGGTGAAATGATTATTATATATTGATGAAACAAAAAGTAAAGTTTAGTCTACAAGAGCGTGACTAAATAATATAACAAGATGATTGAAAATGTAGTGTGAAAACAAAGGGCTATCAAGAAATAAAGAAGAAGAACATTCGAGGCAAGTGATTTTCACACTTTCTTTAAGACAAAATTGCCTCGCAACGGTGCTCACGGTTCATGGTACAAAGGATTCAACTTGTGGAAGCACTTCAAACCACAAGTTACGACAAACTTTTGACGGAGTTTCTCTCTACAAAGAAGAAGACAATTTTGAATGAATTTGAAAGTGATTTGCAAGAGTTTTTATGCAATGCTCAATGCAAATATAGTATGTGATGCCTAATGGACATCCAAGGGGTCCTATATATAGAGGATGAAGGGTTGTGAATGAAGTGTCGTGCCCCAAACTCAACAACTCTTGCCAAATTCGCACCATTCACTGTCGCTAGCCTGTCGCCATCGCCTTGCTCGAGCGATAAAAGCTGTGACTTCATTGCTAGCCTGTCGCTCGAGCGACTGTCGGTCAGGCTAGCAACACACATAAGCAAATTTTCGGCAGTTTCTTCAATTTTCTTCCCAAAGACTGCAATTTTTCATTCATCCAGAATGGGTTATACCACGACGATGTACTCGATGAGTACAACAAGTTGATATATTTATATTTGTAATTTGACCATCGGATTGAGTCCGAATATTTGACCGAAGTTGACACGAAGGTCACTCTTCCAAATTTTTGGATTTGACATTTAACCAAAATTTCAATCTTCTAAACCAATTTCCAACAAAAATAAACCAAATTACAAGGTTTTGGTTACTTTCCTTAATAATGTTGACATTTCATGATAGAACCCTAATTCCTAATATTGTATCAGAGCCACCATCTTAAAAATGAACACGCCGATTTTAAGATTGGTTTGTTCGAATGAGCCACCATGGTTGACTTTTAAGATGGAACCATAGGGTGTGACCTGATCTTCCTGTGGCTGAAGATCAGTACTGAATTTTTTCTGGTTTCCAACATTTTGGAATGATTTCTGTTACCCATTATCTGGCTTTTTAATTTTTTTGAAAGTTCAATTGAAGATATCATTTTAGTCACACACGAGAAAAGATTCAATACAACTACAGTTATTAAATTCGGACTCAACCAAACTAGTTTAATGTCCAAGTAGCTTCAATAGACCGATTTATAGATGGACCGATCAAGAACCAGTCCGTGTTTTGTTATTTGAACCAATTTCATGATGCATGATTTAATCTTAAGATCCACTTTATCGTTATACGATCTTGAGTAGTTTTTCTTTTTTCTTTTTTTCGTCACATTTGAAAATTATAGGGGAATACTTATTTTCATTATTATGAGATGCTGAATAGAGAAAACGAAGTCCATTACTTAACCTCGTCTATGACCGCACTACTACTAATTTAACATCTACATGATTTCATTATCCTAGTATTATTGATCTTATCCATGTGGTTGTGGACTCGAGCGTTCTAAAGCAACTTGACTAGGTTGCTTTGGACATGGAGACTCATGACTTCTTTGGCCCCTCCAACAATTTTTTGTCCAATGAACACTGTCGGTACAGTTGGCTCTAGTACGAATTCCTGCAGTGCCATTTCTAATTGCTGTCCATTGGGAATTTCATCTACTTCGTAAACTGTAGGGTTTTCTCCTAAGCTGTATATCAGTGTTTTAATGGTGTGGAGTGCTTTTGCTAAATATCACCAATGGCTTGTCTGCTGTTAAACTCTCTACATTGTCCATTATTAATTAAGATGATGATAGAATCCTGACTACTGGTTCCAGATCTCCTATGTTAGCTACTCAAGGCTGGGAGCTCATATTGGAATGCTGCAATCCTGCTGAGCAAAATATCATATTAGGCCTCAGTTTATGTAGAATCAACAATGAGCTATGTTGATGAATTAGGTAGACGTGTCAATCGGCTCGGCCCAAGCTCGTGTGGCTCGTTGGTTTTTGGCCAAGCTCGGCTCGTGCCCTAGCTCGCCCAAAAAGAGCCGCTTGGCTCGCCAGCTTGTCATTTTGACCATTTTTTTTAACACTACTATAACTAAACCTTAAATTCAAAAAATATACACACATTTTCTATTTTTTTTTAAATATACATTTTTCAAAACATTTATAATTTTTTAAATAATAAGAACAAAATTTTATTTGTTGATTTTTGTTTTTTGTTTTCCCAATTACCCTTTTATAATATATTAAACCTAATACACACACACACACACACACACATTTTGTAAATTTTTTTTTTAAATATACATTTTCTAAAATATTTTTTTTTTT